ATTTACTCACAGTTCTAGCCTTCAATTCTGCCTTGATTTTTGATTCATTGATTTAATTGAGCCCAGTACGAACAATGTTAAGTGCATCAACTCGGTTGTTCATTTAATTATTCCTGAAGTGTATTAAAAAATTGCACTTGCAAAGTGTATCAGAAAAATGAAAACTGGTATTCCAAGTCACACCAATAAAATGTTTTGTTATTTTCCAAGGGCCTGCCCCACTGTGCTTGGCCCAACCCAACGTATTCCATGTTGTTTTTCACGAATTATTTTCCGCCACCCTGCGCTTGATAATCTAATGTCGTGCGTCTAGAGAATGTCAGCCAGCTATCGATCCAGCCGCCGGGCCGTTGTCACTTTACCCGTTGCGTCGCGTCAAGCGGAAATGATATTTCAGCCATTTGCATACATTGGCATTGGCATCGCCATCGCCAACGCCATTGCTCGCTGTGCTCGTTGTGCTCGTCAACGTCACTTCTGCGATTTCCCTTACAATTCAATATCCACACCAGTGGGTTTTATTTGAACGAAATATTATTTGGCATGCTGGCAACCGAACTCAAACTCGAATTCAAACCCCAATCCAAACCCAAAATTCAAACAGAGCCAAAGTTGCCAATGTCGCTGATGCTTGAGCTGATGCCGATGCTGATGCTGATGTTGTACCCGCGCTCAAGTGCCCTGAATAAATGATTGAATGCTGAAGTGAAAATAAACAATTTTTAGATGTGCTCATTGGGAATACACTGCTTCTGGCTGCCAACGGCAGGTTGGCCGGAGGATGGCGGATGGCAGATGACGGGTGGCAGAACGATAAAACGGAAAAACGACGAGACTACGTCCATGGCAAGTATTACGATTTGCGGCATCATCTTCGATTGGTTTTCCCTCCGCTACTCCTGCACGGAGCAGTGGCATCACTATGCAAATTTTAACTCAATCAAAATTGCAAACGATATAGGACGTGCAATTTTTTTCCGATTCACAATCGCAATTTACGGTTGATTTCGATTTGCTGGCTTACAAGTTCTCCTACGCTTATAGTTTAAGTTTAAGACGGGTCTCGGGGTTGATGACTTAGCTGTTGGTGTTGCTGTTGCTGGTATCGGCTTGTGTCTGAGCTCGAGTCTTTTTGGTTAATAATGGGAAAGGGCGTGCTTGTTGAGCCAACGCAATCGACTGTGGCAGGTAATTTAGATAATACTTTAGCAGCTTTCAAAATTGGATTGCTGGCAGGAGGCGTTGCAATGTCGTTCCCAATTGGGCTAATCAAACATTAGGATTTTGGTGCAAATCAATAAAGTTCTTGAGTTCGAACTATTCGAAATTTTTGGAAAACTGAGCTAACTAATAGCTAACTAAGAGCTAAATAATACGAAATTCAAATGTATAAGATATTGTAGTACAGAATCATCCCTATATGAATCGCTTCCAAAAGAAATATCAAATCTCCCAAAAATACAAGTGTTTGGCCTAATAAGTTTGTAAGAAAAACCACAATCAACTTTGTATACTCTGCAGCTAAAGGGTAATTTTTGAGAACTGATGAATCTATGATGTAGGGCCAAAAAATCTTGTTCTTATAAGGCAACTGAATAGAACAAATTCTTAAAGGTGAATCATTCCCACAGCATCAACATTTGTTGCAATGCATATACATGTGTATGTTTGTATGAATTGAATTAAAAATAAAAGTAAAAACATGCACATTTTATGGCAGGCATCCAGCCACCCAACGAGTTCTTTTGTGTGTAACCGCAGGCGTCAACAGGGCCGAGCCCAATCTCTGGTCGGGCACGTTGTGGCACGCAATGGCTGTGACTGTGACTGTGGCTGTGGCAGTGGCAGTGGCCACTTAAAGTGCACACAGCAAACGTAGTTCTAGCCATTGTTGTCGCAACACTAGCATGCCAGCATAAACACAAACACACACACTAACAGACGCGCACACAGACACACACACTGACTTACATACGGCGGCTGACCCGTGCCTACAAAGCAAACAAACATGGCGGCTTCCGCTGACGCTGCGCTCGCCATTGTTCGATGACCATGCCAACAATTCCGCTCTGAAAATGAAATACTGTCGTTGTTTCCTCGTTTATTTTTGCTGCTACCCGATACGTTGTTGCTTGTCTTGTTATTGTTAGTGTTGCTGTTGTTATTGCTGTACTACCGTTCTGGCTGCGCCTCTTTTTATTTTATTGTATTTCTTTCCCTTTTTGCACAGTCGTTATTATTTTCCAAAAATATTTCTTTCACAAATTGGCCGCATTGCCAAAAATGCAACGAGGCGATGCGGCCACAGACCGAGCGGTGAAAAAATTCCAACACGAATAGTTGTCCTTCTCCTGATAAGTTGAGAGCATACTGGTTCTCAGGGTCTCAGGCTCTTGGGCTGTCGCCGCACCCTTCCCTCGACCAACTTGTCATTGTTGTGCACTAACTGTGCTTGACATTATGCTAATTTGCGGTTGATGAATGATTCTCGCGCCTTCCTGACTTACCGCCTTGCTTTCGCAGCGCAGCTTAAGTTTATGTGAGCCTTTTTGTCGCTTGTACGAGTACGAGTACGGATATCTCAGATATGCAGCTGCTTTTGTTTTTATGGTCTCGTTGTGCTATCCTGTTTGTTGTTGTCATCTTGCCTGCCAACGTATCTCTGTCTGTCCCTGTCCCAGTCCTAGTGCCTGCGCTTGTGCTGGTTTCCGTGCCTGCCCCGTGATTTACGTGCAGTAGCTGGTAACGCGTGACTGCGGCTGACCCGTTTGGCAAGGAATTCATTCGCATTCGCATTCGCCTTCGCCTCCACCACTGCCGACGTCACGACCTCCGCCATGACAAAAGCCATGGCGCTGCGGCTTCTCCATAGATTTATGCATTCAAGTCTTGCGGCGCTTTTGTTAGTTTATTGGCGGTTGCTTAATTTATTTATGCTGTGCATGCAGCTGGCGGCGCATATTAATTGTTGTCTTAAGCAAATTGCGTGCATAAATTACGCATTTGTTCGGAGTAAACTTTGAGCCAACAACAAATAAAAGCAATATGTCTGTGCGCCGAACTGCAAGCGCATCGAACAATTAAAATGAAGTTTGAATTTAAAGAAATTTACCTATGTATGTATTGATGAAATTCTTAAACCTTTAATGGTTTCGCTAGTGAACCTGTAGGGTGTTATTCAAAAGTTGTTGAGCCCAAATAAAATTGTTAGCCACCCAGAAATTCTGAAGCTTGTTTTTTTGTCGATAGTTTTTGTTTCATTTATTAATAATATTTATTTTTATTAAAGTTCAGTTACTTTGTTTTTTTTCTTATTATTATATATAAATGTTTTCACTTAATTTTCTTCTTGCTCTTGTTCTGTTTTCATGTTGGGTTCTGTCATGTGTTCATGAGTTCGTTTAGCTTTAAATCTGTTGTTTAGTGTATGTGCCACAGTCTGAAATTGGAAGCGGATTTAATGGCCGCGTTTCTCCTGTTCTTTTCATCTTGTTTCTTGCTTCAAAAACTGGGGTAGTATGTTTGTTTGTTTGTATATAAATAAGTATGCATTGGTATGTGGTTGTTTTCGGTCTGGCTGTTTGTAAGTATATACTTGTATATGTTCGGTTATGTTGTTTACGCTGCTTATAGACGAAGACATTTAGTCATCATTAATTTATGAACATTATAAATTTGAATTATATTTTTCATTTCATTTAGAAAGCCACAAAACATGGCCTCCATTTGTGTTGTCATATTTATAATTAAAATGTATTTTTAGGCGCCGTGTGCATTTTGAGTTTTTCCTACATGCTACACCGGCCTACTAACATGATGTGTGTATTTATTTGTATTGTATGTGGATCTGAGCCTTTCCCTCACTTTCATTCACAGAATTAAGATAACACATCGTACAATAAATACATAAATATCAATGTGTTTGTTTGTGACTGTGTGTGTGTGTGTGTTGTATGTTTTGAGAAGTATGCTTTACTATAACTATCAATATCAATCCATATCCAAAGAAGTTCTATATATTGTGTATATATGTATGTATAGTAAATGATTTATTTTAATTTTAAAAATGTCTATTGCATTTCACGCGACCTCCGTACTCTGGCGTATTTGGCTTAAACTTCGCACTCACCACCAATAGCCCGTCTGCAATGTCGTACATACTTGATTTGGTATTATTTTTACAATATTTACACTAAGTGTCTCATTAAATGGTTTGTCTGCCTAAGTCTGCTGTATGCTTTACTTTACTTTACTTTAATTTACTTCACTTGCTTGCCTTTTACTCCACACCGTTAGTATTTCTGTACTGTTCTCTGCTTTTATTGAGATCAAATGGAGAAGCTGATAATTCCTTCGAAAATTGTACATCAATTTTCAATTTAATTCGTTTTTTTTTAATATTTATAATTTGTTGTATATTTCTCCTTTTATTAGATTTAGATTTTATTTATTACCTTTCTTTATTTTCTTGTAAAATTCAATTGAAGATCAACATGCTGCTAATTAAATGGAAAGTCTTCCAGTTTAAATTGTTAAACAATTTCTCGGTTTCTTCGGATTGTGTGTCTATGTCTTTGTCTTTGCCCCGAAACTTTCAGCTGTGTAGTATTTATTGATATTGGCTTATTCATTATACGTTTAGTTTTAATGGATTTCTGTAAGCAAGCTAAATAAATATGTATGCAGCTTTCTGCTATCAAATTACAGTTTCGTTTTCTTCTTCCTTTTACTTTTTTATTTACTTGTACATATTTTGCTTTCCATAAACTTTTTAATACGATTTGTTTAATTATTTGAATTACTGTCTTTTGTTTTCTTGGTATTCCCTTTGTGTGTATATGCAAACAAAACTACAACATTTAATAATTATGTATATTCATCAATTAATTTTAATGCTTTACGGTTATACATATATTATATCTGTCTGCAAGTGTTTTTCTTTTTCTCACACTCTGTGATAATTCTTTTGTTTTATTTTGTTCTGTTTCTGTTTAATTTTGCAAATAGTGGGGTCTCCAAAAAATTAGTGTGGGCTAGCAGAAAAATATAAAAACTAACGTTGGGCATTACAAATTATTGAGATTTTAGTAATTGGTGTGTAAAATACTTAAGCGCGTCCTTTGCGAGCAGCTGCATGTAATAAATGGAAACAAACATATATGAATACAAATATAAGTTTTTTGGATACCAACACGGGTTCTCGAACAAAACATAAAATGAAGTTTCGCTCTACCACGAACAATAAATAATAATATATCATAGTTTCACTGGCCACACCTTTTTCAATTTACAGTTGACCAACAAAACAAAAAAACTTGGCAAACACCACACTTCCTGCCTCAAGCCTTGCTACCAGGAACTTCCTTTTCTTCAATGGACGCCCACACCCATACCCACCATGCAGACGACAACGATGAACTCCCATGGGCAAGTCACCGTCATAGACAAAGACAACATGACTAATAGTTGGCTGTCGAAAAGCAAACAAATGGTCAGCATTTCGGAACAACGAAAACAAGGCATTGAACTTTTGGGAAAACAAGCGAATAAAGTGACCGAATCATGTCTGTCTGTCCGTCCCAGTGTCTCCATCCGTCTCTCTGAACTGTCGGTCTTCCTCTCTGTCAGCCGCACAGTAATCGGAGCCAGGTTACAATCCCCCATTCCGCTCTCCTTCTGACTCTAGTTAAATTGTTTGCAATAGCTATTTCGCTTTATAGACTTTGTCGCGCTGCTCCTTTCATATTAATTACGCTAATCAATTTAGTTTTTCCCCGTCCCCACCACCCATCCAACTGTCTAGCCAAATAGCTTTTGCTACAGCCCAAATGAAAATTAACAAAGGTAAATAAAATAGAAATAAACATGGTAGATAATGATAGAATGTGAAAGACTGGCAATTCAATTACCCACTCACCTTTGTCCTTGTTCTTGCGCTGTTCCTTAGCACTCTTATCCTTGGACTTGCCTGGCTTGCAATTCTTCTTGATGACACGTGTTGCTTCGCATGAGGGATCGCTGGTTGCCTTTAGTTTATCCGCCCGTGTCATTTGTCCAGTTGCGCACTCAGACCAAGAACCCTTTTCATAACGACAGGCTGCAAGTCACAAATAAATAATTAATAAGAAAATAATATTGTATTTTGTGTCACGAAGTTCAACAGTTATCGCATATAGTCATCAACTGCATTCTTTTTCGACCTCCTTCTGGTCGCTTTCATTCGCAACAGCAGCCATCACAGCCACAACATCCATTATGAACAAATAACAAAAGCCTTTCACGTTGCACAAATGCAATCATTTGCGACCACCATGTCGACCCGTAGCGGACGAGTGTTCAATATAAAATGTATGTACAATATATATAAATATACAAAGCCCGCACGTTGCACGCCATTTGCATTTTATAGTAAGTACATGGCGAGCTTTCAGCGCCAACCCGAAAACTGTCGCAAAATGTATGCAAATACTTGGGTAACTTGAAATATAATGAGCTTTATTATAACATTTCCAATTATAATAAAGCGTCAGAAAAAAGCAATGTGTTTTGGCATTCTGTTGGGTAAGTAACTGGAGGGATCTTGGAACACAAATTAGTGTTCACCTCCGAGCTAACAATCAGCATATTTTAAATTACTTGTCTTCAACACTAATATCAAGTACTCTTCTAGTAAAATGTACATTTCAAAATATTTGTAACAAACTGTTTCTCACTTACCTTTTTTGCATTTCTTTTGTATGGTGCGGGTCTGATCGCAAGCCGGGTCCCCCTTTTTGAGTGTCAACGTTCGCGAACGCGTATTAGTTTTGGTATCGCACTCAGTCCATGGATTTTTGCCATAACGGCAAGAAAGACCTTCAATGAAATAGATGTGAGGAGTAAATGCAAACATATAGTATAAGATCAGTGTTTTCATATTCCCAAGAAATTTCATTTTGATTGATAATAAATAGTATATAAGAAAGAATAAAGTATTTTTACTCACCATCGCTCTTCGTTCCACGTTCGTTACGTATTAACACCTCGTGCTCATCTTCCTGCCAGACCTCACCCTGTAGGATTGTCCTGGGCTGAGTCTGTTCGGCAACGGGCAGTGCTAGGGGCGTCTCTTGAACCTCTGTGGTGGCGCTCACTGTGCAGGAGACTACCGCCGACCATGACATGAGCACTGCCAGCAGCAGCTTGGTGGAATTAGGTCTCATTTTGTAACTGTTGTAGTCGCCCTTTACTCGTTGGTGCTTGCTGGAAATTACAAACAAACAATCCACAATCATCATCAATTTTTATCCAAATAATAATGATTAGGGCAAAGCATCTCTTCAAGTTCTTGCCATGAACTTGGGCCTTTGAGTGATTAACTAAGGCTTACATTAAATTTGAAATGAAATTGGCATAATTGTGTTCGCGGCGCACATAATATTACATCTAATACCCTCAACATCATAATTGTTTTTATTGATTTTTGTCTCAGTCGCCACCTAAAGACTTAGCTCGTTCAGCTTGTTGGCTTTGCTTGGATTTTTTCCCAAAAGCCTATATATATATTTATATATAGACCTAATGTCAGGTCTAGACAACTTGAGCCGCTTAAGTGGCACCTTAAGATTTTGCAATTAGCCTCTTCAGACTAATGCAACCAACGGGGGTATCTGCAAACTTAAAGCGACTATGCAAAGTTTCAAAAAGAACATAACACACGGTACGGCAATAAAAGCTCTTGAAAAACTTTAAATGCTACTTTGGGGTGTGCCATCAAAGGGGGATACATTAAATTGGCACACACACATACTCTTATGCACATGTACGAGTATTCATGTGGTAGTATGTCGAAGTGGATGCCACCGCAATTCTTGGCGCTTTTGACGGAGGCGGAAGTGCTGCAAGCAATGTGCTTTATTTTTGTTTAGCAAACGCACACATACGAGAACACACACATGTACACAAATGTGCTTACAGCGCTGTCGACACACATAAGTAGGAAGACAAAAGTTAGGCACACAAAAACTAACAGTCAAGAAAAGTTTCAACAAGCGCCTACAGAGCAGTAACAAAAGCAGCAACGAGCAGGCGCATTGCCGCAAAAACACAGACTTGTCTTGTATTTAAACTCTACATATAAGTATATACGTGCACATGACAGACACACACACAAACAGAAATGCAGGAGCACATTCGCCAGCAAATTCGCTGCCATTTTTTAATGGTTGCCGCCGCACCAGCCACAAAAAACAACATGAACGTGCATCCAGGCAAGATAAAGTCTGTCCCTCTGTCTGCTGCCTGCTGTTTGCTGCATGCTCTGCCCCCTCATGGCCCCTCCTGCATAACAAGCCGTTTGTTAGCTGTGTTTATTTTCCATTGCATACTTTAGGGCTTAAGTGTTTATGTGTGTTAGTTTATTTATGCAACACGCCGTTACGCAACCGTGCGAGTAAGACAACTGCATTTGTATAAACACGCGCATGCATGTTTGTATGTGTATATCTGCATGTTTGCTTGTCTGCTTATGTGCATGCAGATTTTAGTTAACTATGTATTTGCATACCGGAAATCTTGATGCATCTTATTCACAAGCATACACACGCACACCCACACACACACAAACATACATATTTGCGCACATAAGCCGCCATGTTTATTTGTATCCTCTGCATTTCGTTTCATTCTCTCTTTTTCTGCTTTAGTTTTGTGCCTCAAAGCGCTTGTGTGTGTGTGTGTGTGCACAGGAAATGAGAAATTTATAAGATTAGCGTCGTGCGCTGCTGTTGTTGTGTTTTGTGTTTCTTTCTGTGTCTGCTTGGATCAGGCGAATAGCACTGCCTTGTGAACCTACGTAGTCCGGGAGGTATACAGTGAATGAAAAGGCAAGCTGTATCGAATATTTGTGTTACTTCTTATGATATTCTGTTGCAGCCATCAGAGAACATGTTTACGTCGTAACACTAACAAGCCCGTGGAGCTAGCACTTTTATAAATAATTGTCTAAAGCCGAGAAACTGTTATGACTGAAAAGGTTTATACATACGATTTCAATTATACTTTCATAAATGTTTTCTAGAAATACGAATGACTCACAAAAATGAAAAAGTATTGTGAAATTTATGTTCAATCTATATATATACAAATGGACATATCTATATATATATATATATATATATATATATGTATGTATATATATACTTCAAAGCCGCTCAACCGATTTTGATGAAATTTTGCGGCAATATTCAAAATAGATCCGTTGGTAAACCTGTGAAAACATCTTTTGGTAAAAAAAAAACATAAAATCAAAAAATATAAGCAAAAAAGAGCAGCTGAAAATGCCAATGAAAGCGAATCACGAAATTGCATCCACAGCTGATCAAAGAAACACAGACAGGACGCGAATACAGACGAATAAATGTATACGGCGGTGGGTACTCAACTATAATCAAGGATCTAATAGAAACCATAACGTCGGAAAGCTTACAAAGCACTACAATTCAGTGGCGCAGCAACGCAAGCCGAATACGCTAGTTGACAAAGAAGAATAATATGTAAAGGTGAAAAATTGTATCTCCTGCATCCAATTTATGTAATAGGTTTATTCTAAGCTTGGCAACTTGGTACAACAAAAATTAATTCCTTAATATGAGTATTTAATAGTTCTTCATAGTCTAACAGAAGATCCGTATATTATAAAAATACCCATTGAAAAACAATAAATGATATTAGAATGCAATGAATTCATTTCGGCAATCAATCTCAGTCTTATTCTCTTCATATATGTATTCCCGTTTGCCAGGGCACTTCGGCATGCTGGGAAGAGGCGCAATACAGAGAGCCGAAAAACGCCAAAAACATGGCATCCTGTACTCAAGCAGTTATTTGATTCAGTGGCGCGTTTCGTTTGCTGCCTTGTTTACAGCGATATCCTGTTCCATTTATGTTTGGCTTTATTCTATGATGTTTCTTTTCAGACGTGCAACTTTACCTCAACGGCAACAGCATTGAATTTCAATTTTCCTCAGATGCCTATGGGTGCCCGTGCTGCGTTTCGCCTCGTTGGTACTGCTACCTACCCAAGCACCCCCACAATTTCAAATTTAATTTTAATCTTATTGCTCAACGAAATCAAATATTGAAATTAAGTATCGTATCCACTTCCTCTCGCAATGACGGCGTATTTTCCAATTCCGTGTGCCGCCAATTCGTTGCTCAGCACATAACAAGACCAACAACCGAAGTGGCCTGGCCTTGATTCGGCAGCCTGTAATGGGAAGCCTTAAAACGTCGTATTTGCCGCCGCCGTACATGGTACATGGTTGCCAAGACATACTATATGATTGATTTTTAATTGCAATGTATTTTTCCCAATTACTGCGTTGCCTTGACCACTTTCTGCTGCGCAATCTGTGCATCAGATCTCCCATCATACCACTACTGAGTTTGGGGTAAACTCCTTCCTTTTGCTTAACTTTTGGCACTCAGCCAGATTTCAGCGCTGTTTTCCACATTCTTTTTTTTTTTTGTATACTTTGAAATATGATGCCATTCTTCTCGACCATCACAGTTGATGAATTTTCACTCCCTGTCCCTTAGCATGTACATTTCACACTAATAGGATGCCGTGCACACAAATATATCGGCTTTCTTTATTTTGTATCCTAATTGTGGAAATTGTGGCACTTGACTCGCGTTACCTTGCCTTCACTCATTACAATGCTCTGATATTAATCAAAACTGACAGAAACTGCGTGCCAATTAGGGGAACTCTTCGCATATGTGTCTATATATCTAATGAAGTGCGCTTTCCCAAGGGTATGCTCATTCGGTTACTTGTCTGTGTGGCTTGAGGCTCTGTGAGTCCTTTGGGACTTGAAATGTTCGTTTGATTTATTAAAACCGGTTAATATGCATTATTTGCGAGATAAATAGCTACGCCTATATGCATTTTCAACGAAATTTTGTATGATATTGCGAATTTCCTTAACTGTTTCATAAATTAACTTATAAGAATGAAGAATGTTAATTTTAAGAGTTGGAAAAATTAAACTATATTGGACAAATTCCTTTAAAGTTTAAGGTAAAAACAATTTAATTTAAGTTATTTTTGGGCCATTTTACTTGACTACATGACAATAAATGAAATATTACACAACAAAGAAAATTTCTGTAGCTTGTCAACTTTATTTCTTAAAATGATTCGTTCTATACTAAGCCTACAATTTTTCTAAATACCACAACCGAAATTCGTTGTTCAATTTTTCCCCAAATGAGAGAATTTGATATGCGATTCAAAGTGCTTACAGAATAAGTTGTTGTGAGCAACAATTTACATATTTTTCTCCCACTATAGTTAGTGGTACATTTTCCCCTTAAAGTAGGCAATACATTTTTAGACTAAAACTATAGTAAAAGCATGCCCGCACATTTATTTCTTGAAGCGTATTCCCCATGCAGCTTGTGCATTTTACCCTAATTTGCCTTATTTCCCACACTAATTATCGTGCATAGATGTGCACGAGTATATCTGTGCACAGTCGTGGCGGGCTGCGTGTATGCCAACTGATTTGTGGTTAATTAAGTTTTATGTCCATTTGCCATCGCATTTCATTGCGATTCGTCTCGCCTCGCCTCGCACTGCCTTGCCTTAACGCCACGCAACGCATTTGGAGCATTAATCTATGCGCCCGCAATTCCATTTCCATTTTCGTATTCGCACACTGCGCCAGCACTGCTTTAATGGCGTTCTTTTGCATGTTGTGTGTCTGTCTGTCTGTCTTCGTTCCTGTCTGTATCGGTGTCATGTTTGTTTATGTGAGAACATACGCTCAAACACACACATGCGTGTGCATTACGAGTCCTTTTGCATTTAATTACTGAACATTTCATGTTGTAGTGTGATGCGACTGACACAGATATGTTGAGTGTATTGAGGTTGCCCAAACAGGAATGCAAATTCGCGTTAATTGAATGCGTGTTTGTGTGTGCGTGACAGGCGCAAGCATTGAATACAGCTAGCAGTAGATCGAATCAGTTTATGGTCCTCTATACAGCAGAGCCTACAGCTTATGTTTTTAATAAAGCTAAGTGCTGTACCAAGCCACACGCACAGTACAGTGACAAGTGGGGCCAGTGGGACAAGCGTTGCTAAAATTCAGAGACAAATGTTTTTGCTTACCCTCAGCTAATGGAGCAAGAAGCCAATGAAGCTAGTGCTTTTATCCTTTCTGTCTAAACGCAGGCACATTCAAGTAAACACAAAGAACAAAACACACAAATAATTAGAAATATTGCTTAACAACTCCACCATGTCTGCGAATCGCAAATAAATTATTATTAGTGGTCGAAAGTTTTTTCAAAATTTGTATTTCAAGCTACGTTTCATGCTATGTTCACCACCAACGCAAATTGGAAACTAACCGTTATACACACACAGTGCGCACACAGGACACACACACACAAACACAACTGAGCAGTTGGTAAAGTTTCAGATTGAACACTTGGCTGCTGGCCTAGCGAATGTTGGCAGATTTTAATCAACTGTTCACGAAGCGCGTCACTTTAGAACTGGCTGGCATGTTGAGCGAGCGGCAGCATAAAAGGCCAACACATAAAATCCTACAGGACATTATGCTCACAGCGCGAGTGCACTCGCTCACAACGCGCTTTCAAGCGCATCCCTCTCTCTCTTCTTCTCTCTCTCGCTCTGCCTTTCTCTCTTTTGTTCTGGTACAGCTCGGGCCATTTTATCAATGAGCTGCGCATGTTCCAAAAATAAATAAATTCACGTTTTATTTTTATCCATGACGGTGTTCCACTCAGTTGCTGGTCCTTGTTTTAGCTTTGAGTGTGAGTGCATGGCAGTTAATCCTGTTCTGTTTTTTTTTTTGCGTTTTTGTGGATAAGTCATTTTGCATCAAAGTATACGCAGCATTAAAACTGCACTCAAAGGACAACAGTCGTCCCGTATTTTTCAATGTTTTTGATGTAAGATATAGACGATCATCTGATCTTGCATCCACTTTATTTGTTGCTAGTGTTTTAAAATAAAGTAAAAAGATAAAGGCATGACTTCCAATTCCAACCTCTATTTCGGTACGGAATAAAATGTGAAGTCTTTTCCAACCGCCCTTCCAAAGTTTCTAGAGACATTTGAAGAGTACAAAAATACACAAACTAACGGAAAAGGAGTTTCGAACATCGTTTTACTAACAAAATAAAACATAAAGATTTTCATCAATACGATCTAAGACATGGAAATATGGGAAGCTTGGGTAAATGTTATTTCAAAATTGCTGGGTCAGATCATTATTATCAAAATTGCTAATGGTATACAAAAAACGACTAATCGCTCAATCTATTAACGTCCTTTACGAAATACCAAATATCATGCTCGCAAGACGCTGCAACCGGGCGCTTTCATCCCAAACACAAACACCGACATCCTTGAACTTTGGGGGCAACATGTTAGCTCCCACGGCACGCAACTATGTAATGTGGAATGATAAACGTTTTGCAGTGCATGGACGTTTGCACGGTTCGCCAGTCTCCTTTTATACTTTGCCCAGTGCTTTGCCTCATGCGAGTATGCTGCCAGTTTTTAGTTGCTGCCTTGGTTGGCTATGGGGAAATTGCATTTTTTTTATAACCGGTTGCATCGCATTTGTATTGGCGCATTCATCATACGTGCGGTGTGCCGGCAGGCAGAAATAATGATTTCGGGAAATGATAGCACACACGAGGCATGTGCTCCGAAATGTTCACAGTCGTGCGTATTAAATTCTGTAGCCATAGCAATTTCCTTGCTCGCTTAGTTTATGTGCAAATTTGTGCATGCGCCACTAAGTTGCGGAGCAGTTCAAATGCAGATGTATGTGTGTATCCCACATAATGTATGCAAGCATTGTGCTTCCGCTCTAGCGTTCGTATCTTGGTAAGAGTTGTCTCTCCCCAATATTTTGTAGCGGGAATCTATGCGTCAATGAAAATCAGCCGGAAAGCGAATGTCGGATTACAAAAAAATTATCAGTATTTTTTGAGCTTGTATGAAAACTATCAAGTCATACAATGACAGATAATCCTTGAAATGTCTTTCGAAGTTTGACATTTTCGAAGAGCATATTTCATTATATTTCTTGCAATTTCTTGTGTCTGCATCGTTGATTGTCATTCATATTTTCAAGCGCCTAAAATGTGCCCCACAATAAGCCTGCATATATAATGTACTTGTGTGATATACTCGTGTATGTATACAAACACGCACACAAGTACTTTGGCATTGCCTTTTGGTATTACTTCAGCTTAACTCGTTATCCGGTTGGCAGTGCACCCAAGATAGACTGACTGACTGCCTTCCTGCCTTCTTGCCTACTTGCATCGCGTTTACCTACTGCTGCCGACCGCCTGGTCGTCTAGCATGAACAGAGCGTATACTACGTGTATAATCACTCGACAGCGCGACCTCTAGGCTTCGTAATGAACCATCGTTGCTACAGCTCTTCCTGTTGGTTTTAACCACCGTCATGTCGCACGTTCTCACATCCTGCCGGTGCTGTTTCGTGCCCATAATGCCAGCTCATCATCCAAGCGCCCGCGACGACCCTGCGCGCTTTTTCTGCTCGTTAAGTTTCCGTGTGTGCAAAGTTTAAAAACTGGCTAAAGTCGCTTCTGCCGCAACACAACTAACGCTCTTTCTGTATGGGGTGTCCCCCGTCTGCCCCCTCTGACTCACTACACGCTTTTAACGTGCTTCATTTCGATCTACACCAGCGGGTTTTAGCGTCAGTCAAGCGTTGCTTGCCTCGTCTGCATGCGGCGCCTTTTTGCGGTTAAATTAAATTCTATGCACTAGTCTACAGCTGTCGTTGGACCCAAAACAATCCAGGCCCAGCTCCTCATCCTAGGCGTAAATTAAAATTTTAATGAAAAGCTGTAGCTTAATTGCGAAAGCAGAAATAAGAAGATTTCATATGGGAAGCAGAGGCCAGTTGCCTGTACACATTATTGTAATCAATGCTCGTGCCTTCTCTGGGAAGAGATTCCTACCGACTAAATGGCAGCCATGATGCCGGTATTGCAGTGCTGCGTCATCATCAGCGCCAGCGCCAGCGTCAACGCCATTGACAGCACAAATAATAACAAAGGAAATTAAAAATCACGTGATAAATCGTCCACAAACGGGAGAGAGCGGCGTTGGGAAGAGAAGTGGTAAAGTGATTGTGACAACCAAAACAAAATCAAAGCTTCAGAAAACTCGCAAAAGTAAATCAATCTTGTGATGCGTCAGTCGACAGAAAGGAGACTGAAAAGGATGAGAGCGAAGCATTTTGAGCACTTTTCTTTGGAAAGAAAGCAACGCAAAATGCGCAAATAAATAGTATTTAACGTAAAATGCGGAGTCATTGTATTTACTTGGCACGCCTCCAAACACCTCAAAAATGTTATTAAAATAATTGTAGTGGAAAAAGTAAACAAAAGCCGGAAAGGACGACAACAGAAATAACAGTGGGAACTGAGGTCGATTGATGAGCATGTCCAGAAAAATGGGCAGCGTCATTATTGATTGTACGCCTGCCTATTAATATCAAATGATGTGCAAGTACTATTAAATTTTACTTATACGAAGTATATCCAGTCACTTCAACATATATGAGCGAAATTTAGTAAATCGATTTATTTATTGAGCAGGCGATCAGATAGACTCGTATGGATCGATGCATTCCACCACTGACGTTCCTACGATATTCCCGGCACTATTTCCTTTTACTTGTTTTTTTGTCAAGAATGTAATAAATGACCAGCAATAGTTGAGTAGCGACAAACAAAACACAAAAGATATACGAGCCGGCAGCGAACAGTAGGTAATAGTTGGGCGGCAAGCAAAAGTGGGACAGGACAATCGTGTGGCAATTGATTGATGAGTGCCACTTGTAGAACGTGATAAAAATGTGCGTCGGCTGTAACGAGGGGGTGTCTATGCGATGGGAACTGCGAATGTTACTGTGACGCGTTTAAATTTATCGTGCCTGTACTACATATTTTTTTCGAAGTGAAATAAATTGCTCGGCATTAAGTCATATCAAATAACAAGCACGCATACACAGATTTAGCTATCCCGTGTTAAACTGTAATACTGATATTGGTTTTATTGGCAGAGATCATCAGCAAATTTGCCCTCCGCAAAGAGTTAAAATAAACGTTTGCGTACTTTTAAGCGTTCAAAACTAGAATGGTCCGGAGTGTTGGCTGTAACTATTATGGAAGTTACATTTATCTTACCTGCAATCCCAGCTCACATATTAAATCCATTGTTGGGCTAAACAAGAATTAGAGGACTTTTGATTTTATATCCCACACACAAATCCAAAAATGGCATAGAGACCATTTGAAAACAAATAACGAGAGCTACATCAAATGGATATGCCAATTTGTGTAATCAAAATGGCCAGAATCGAAAACCACACAAGTGTTATTTTATTTTAGCCCTGACCAACAAGCCGCAATTCCGACTACCACCTGCCCATCTAACTACCTAACTGTGTAACTACACAGACATTGGTGTAATGTATGTTTGCAGACTATGTGTTTGTTTGCGCAATGCAATCGAATTGAAATCTATTTAAATAGTTTAGCTAAATGAGTGCGCAGTTGCAGCTGCCAACCATGTTTACGATATTTGCCCAGCTCAAATATTTATGGAAACGATTTCAACTCGAATGCCTATAAAGTTCCAGAAAGCGTACACATGGGCAGACGCAGGGTTTCATTTGCTCGTTGGCACACATGCAATTGCATAATGCACCACTTTTCCAGTACGAGAATGTGCTTCAAATTTGCACGCTCCGCGGTCTAAAGCAGAGCAAAAAGAATGTAGAGAGCACTGGGACCCTGATGCTAGACAAAAATCTACATGATGAGCTAGATGCACTGCACAAATTAAAAAACAAAGTAACATTTTCAAATCACGACCATTGAATATTTCATCTAACTGGCTTGGCCTTTTTATTAAACTTCCTTTTGTGTGGTGTTGGAAGTTAATATATTGTTTCCGTTTCGATATTTATTCCAACCCTTTTTCTCTGTGTGCGGTGTATATCGTACTATAGTATAGTGGGTTGTGTTGATGGCCATGTGTGCATCAGCGGCCAGGTAGCTGCAATGCGTTGGCGCCAAGTGCGCCATAAAGAAAATTCCACTTGAACAAATGACATAAAGTTTGGTCATTTGGTTGTGCTGGCTACGTGACGCGGCTGCGTTTTAATTGCATTGCGTCCAACACATGCGGGGACGGCAGTGACGGTGATGGCCACAAATTTAGACACGTATGCATGTGTGGGTGAGCAGACGCCTCGTTATTGAGACCAACAGCTGTCATAAAATTTAATAATGTAAATGTAATTAAGTCGGCTGACTGGGCCAAGCGTTGCACACAATTCACATGGCCACAGGCGATGGACATCAGCTCGACAAGCCGCAACACAAAACGGGAAATTAGTGTTGTCATCGGACAGCACCTGCCACCCAGCTGCCACCCACCTGAG